GAAAGCAGATAAATCTGGCGATGATATCAATGGTATAACATTGATATATCTTAAAATCCGCGATGATATCAATGGTATAACAACCGAAAAACACAATGTAGAATTTTTATTTATTGAAATCCTGAACCATAATAGCCCTAATGTTATAGTCGGAATTATTTATCGACCACCCAATAGCAAATATGATGAATTTGAAAAAGCTTTACGTGAAATCCTATCGAAAGTAGATAGAGAAAACAAGCCTTGCTATCTAATGGGAGATTTTAACATTGATTTACTCAAGTATGAAAACTGTTCTTTTGCAAACATATTCTTCAACCAACTAACATCCTCTGCGTTTCTCCCCCTTATAACTAAACCAACGAGATTAACTGAACATACAGCAACCTTAATTGACAATATATTTTGCAATCAAGTTAGCTATCAACAACAAATTAGTGGAATATTATTTAACGATTTATCGGATCACCTACCAGTATTCCAAATCAGTCTAAATTATAACCAAAATCAAGTTGAAAACGGTGTTAAGCTAAGTAAAACTCGACCAATGCCTGATGCAGGACGAGAATCCTTTGTTAATGAATTAAATAATCAAACATGGTCATCTACGCTATCAAAACCCGACGTTGAAAAATCTTATGAAGAGTTTCAAAAGTCCTTTCAAGGAATTTTTAACAAATATTTTCCAATAAAAGTGGTTAAATTAAAAGACAACATATGCCCTAAGAAACCATGGATAACTAATCGACTAATAAAATCCACGAAAACGAAAACTAAACTATACAGGAAATTTCTATGCAAGCCAACAGAATTTAATAGAACGAAGTATCAAATATTCCGAAATAAATTAAACCATCTTATAAGAGTCTCCAAGAAAAGGCATTTTCAAAAACGGTTAAATGATGCCAAAGCTGATTTGAAAAGTACATGGAAAATACTAAATGAATTTGCAAAAAAGGAGAGAGAAAACAGCTACCTTCTACTCAGGTTTTTTCTAGAAGATGGCAGGGAAATAAACAATCCAAACACAATTGCGAATAGATTTAATGAATTTTTTGTTAATGTAGGACCAAATTTAGCTAAGAAGTTCGATCAGAATTCTAACAATTTCACCAAGCACCTACAAGGTGACTATCAAAAATCTATGTTTCTAAAAAGCACTTCAAACAAAGAAATTGAAGAAATAATTGCCTCTATGAAATATAGAGGCAATTATCGAAATCCGGACGAAGGATTCTAAGGATTGGATCAACATACTTCGCCAGGTATCCAATATTATCATGTGAGCAAAATAAAGTAATACGGTTGGCCAATTTACACTTTGAGATTTTTCAGTCCACGAGTCCATGAGTCCACAAGTCCAGTCCATGTTTTTGCCTAATCTAACTACAAGTAGCCTCGTGACTTCCGCGTGACTTAAGTGCTGCGCAGTTGGGCCTGTTCGCAGGCTAATGTTGATGGAAATTTCGCGTGTAAATTCTAAGGCCCATTTCCACTCAGGAACATTTTCCGCGGAAATTTTGAAGTTGAAAATTTTCAACTGTTAACAATGATATTTTCGGAAAATTTTTTGTCCGTGGACTGAATTTTTCTTGAGTGGAAATGGGCCTTTATGCGTAAATTTTGGCGAAAAATGTAACAAAAAGCCAGGGTTGGTAGGTTTGCTGAATAATTAGGCCAAACACCGTCGGCTAGACCTCTGTTTTCTTTGTCTTGGCTTTTTGTTTTCTAAACGGCACTAATGACGATTTGGCCTAATTGGCATCTAACTTACCAATCCTGGTAAAAGCTCTGTTTCTGCTTTACCCAAACTGAGCCTGGTTGTCGAACTTTAACCGCTTAATTATATTAAGAGGGTCTGAATGGGGTTAACTGACTACTGACATTTGCCTGAATTTTTGACTGACAACTGACAAAATATCCTAACTGACTACTGAGAAATGATGAAAAAAATTATAAGTCAGGATTTTGCAGTAACTGACTACTGACAGCTTGCAATATATCACACTGACAACTGACAATTGGCTTAAATTTTAGCTGACAACTGACACCCAAAGACCCCCATTAAGACCCTCTATTAAGGTGATACCATTGTAAGTTATTTATTACAGCAGCAAAATAAAAAAAGGAGCCACTGTTCACACAAAACCACCAAGCGCTTCGCGTTCATCTCGCTTCGTTTACAAACCGTGCTCAAATTGTTACAACAAATATTGTTTCTTTCCGCCGTGATGTGATAGGAATCACGCGTGTGAACCTGTACTGTAGTATTTCAGTTATCAGTCACGGAGAAATGTATTTATAAATACCAATCATATTTGATATTTTTATGCAGACTAAATTAGCACAAGTATCTTGTACAAGGTTAAATGCATTTTTCATGGAAATGAACATGTAGCAATTTTCAGACAATCTTGACCAAAAGTTCGTAGAACGACAAAACAAATTAGAAACTTTTTAATATACTTGGGGTCTAAAATCATATTATTCCCCCCCCCCCATTCAATGTTGCTAGCCCGTATTGCTAGTACACGTATACAATTTTGTCTGTATACAGTATGTCAGATCATAAATATACACGAAACGGCCACATTGACTGGGGGGGGGGAAGGGAGGAGGCCTTAAAAATGCATAAAAATGTATTGTCGTCCTACGGTTTATGGCCAAGATGTAGTTATCTGATTATAATATCACCTCAGTTTGGAAACATCCGACATAGTTTCTGGGATAGTTCCTTCATTAACGCGGGACCAACAAAGGCCAATTAAGATACTTCTACTGAACCTTTGGCAAGAAAAGGTAGACGAAAGGAACTTCATCTACCCAATCCATGTATTTGAATTCGAATAAGTTTTAGTTTAACTTGAATAAGTTCAGTTGGTTTACGGTAGTACAGCCCGCGCGCCATGTTTCTGCTCGAACTTTCTACAGGCTTTTCAGCCCAACACATACACCAGAGGTGGGCTGGAGCGCCCCTCTCCCCTTGCTTTTTTTAAAATGAATGGGATTCTTTGGGATTAATTTTTAGAAATAAAACCTTGGGATTTTTCTTGGAATTTTTCTAGTCAACGAGTAATAGAAAAAAAGCTTTTTATCAGAGATAGGTGTGAATTAGTACATCTAATGCATGTTTTCATTAGTGTTTTGATCTTTATTGGCGCAAAATAAGCCATTTAGGTCTTCATCTTGAAAATGTTGATCGGATCCAGATATTTGTGGATAAATGGGATCCACTTCGTTTATTTATTTCAAATAATTTCAACAATATTGAGTCTGTTCCAGTCTTCTTTTCGGAAAACGGATTTTTTTGGATAAAAGCGGGAATCTTAGGATTTTTAGGTTCTTGGTAGGAATTTTTCTCCACCTGGCAACTCTGGTCCTCTTGGGAATATTCAAACTTGTTAAAAGCATGGGATATACATTTTCATTTCTTTGTAATGTAAATATTTTTATCTTGCTGTATTTTGTTAGTCCTGTACTTGTCGAAGACCACAGTCAATAGATTCCAGACCTGTGGCGAAAATCTTGTCAAAAACAAAAATTATGTTACATGGTCGGCGAACGTCCCAATCATTATTTTAATTTGAGTTAGGTCTATAAAAACTTTCCAAGAAACGCATTTTCCATTGTTTTGGTTCAAAAGTCCCAGTTATCATGTCTCAATTACCTGACTTAATATAATTATTTGACATTGAATCAATATTTCAGTGAGGTCAGTATATCATGCTTTAGTCACGTCAGTGTTATTATGAAGTGGTTTTGGTTGTTCAGACACAAACACTACTGGTCCCCAAATTGAACGAGGACCTTCGCAGTCGTGATGGTGCTCTAGAAGGCCATTTCTTAGTTACGCCGTTCAGGGTCTCGATTCAAGAGAGGTGGCCCAGCGCTTGTAGTATCGTGGTCACCACGCTCGCATTTCAAGCTGGGAGACCCAGATTCAATCAGTGGTCGAACCTCGTTAGACTTTCGTTTCTTCTCCAATAAGGGCGTTAAAATTGTAGGTACTTCGGATTCCCTATCAATTCGGTTGCTACAATTAGGTAATAGTCTGTTGAGAAATCCGCTCACCCATTGCTTCCATTTGCAAGGAAATTTCCTTGCAAAAGGAAATTTTGGCCTTTGCAAGGAAATTTGCAAGGAAAAAAAATTACAAGAAAATGACAAGGAATTTTGTTGTCAGGAAGGAAATAAGAAGGATATTACCTTATTTCTAATAAATCCTAAGATTACAGCAATTTCCAAGCAAATTCGCTTCAGAAAATGTCGAAAATCTTGTCCTGGGAAATGGAAAATCTAAAAAATTTCTGAGGGATGACCTCAAATCCCCTGTTCCTTCTACCTCGAATAAATTTAGGTAAATTTCCCTTTTGACAATCCCTCCCCTGCATCGTCCGTGATCCTTCTAGCCCGAGAAACACACCGTTATTCAGGATTATTGTAGCTAATGTCAGTTTTAACTTTTAAACTAGGTGAAATTCATCAACTTTCGTGCAAGGAAATTTTGTCAAATTGTCAAAAATAGAAAAATAGGGAAATTTTGGGCAATGGGGAAGGAAATCATTTTTTGAGAGTGGAAGCACTGCGCTTACCAACGAGTGAGAACTCAATAAACTCAATAAATACAACGCCGCTGTTCTAAAATTTCGATACCATTGTGGAGCGCGCCGGTGTCACAGCGGATATCCAATCCCCCCCCGAAAGAATGTCCTCCGGAAACTATCCGCTGCTAGCTGATTCTCTCTCCCTGGACACCTTCCGCATTGCGGACGATTGACATCGGGACAATGACATCGGGTTCCACGAGATTTTTTGATGGCCTGTTTATCATCGCAAGGCTATACGGCCTTATATGATCCCGATTCTAGAAACGATGTGGCTACGACTCTTTATGAATATACAATAATTGTTTATTAGTTATTCTTGAAAAAACTTTACAACGACAATTATTCTAATCTACAAACAATGTTATACTAGAACTAATTCTAAGTATCTAAAGTCATTATTCTTCAGTCCCCGTTCTCGTTTTGGATTGTATGAAATACGTATACATATAAGTATACATAGTTCGACATATATGGTCTTCAGGTAGAGTACATGTTCAAAAATTTAATCACACCATGACTTGTGAGTGTTACTTCGAGAAAATGTTCTTGCCAAATGTTTACCCCTTCCATGATTGACGAAATGCTTATACTCGAAACATTAGTATCTGTAAATGTCAACATAATGTAACAGTTCACTGGCTTATATACAGGATCACCAATCCGTAGTCTCGCGATCGTAAATGAGACCAAGTCAAAGAATATAGTAGTTCAAGCCGTTTCTAACTTACACGACTCCGGATTTTGTCCAATTTCTTCTCCTGCGCGAAATCTGTTTCAAATCTTTACGCCTTTTACCATAATTTCGGAACCAACCGTAATATATGACAATATGTCACGCATTATGCTATAGGTACGAATGTATATGTTGACGCATCATAGGTCGTAGATGCGATCGAAGTATACAGGAACAATTCGTAAAACAGGAATAATTTCAACAATTAAAACAGGTCGAGATGATAGTGCAGGTATTTCTTGTGCCTATACGTATTGTTTCGCTTTCACAAATCATCGGTTTTTCCCGAAGATCAACTGTAATTAGAAAGGTCGTAGGTTCGAGTCCCGCCGTGGCCAGGCATATTTTTCAAGCCTGCCCGGTGTGGATATACACTCAGAGTAACATCACACAAACATCTTATTCACCTGAGTACATTACACCAACACAGCAGATTTCATAAATATTAGATTACACTGATATCGAAGGAACTAGACTCAGTTCCGAAATATCGCTTCCTCGAACTGTCCTGACCGCGTAGCTCAGTTGGAAGAGCATTGGGCTAGTATTCCAAAGGTCGTAGGTTCGAATCCCGCCGTGGCCAGGCATATTTTTCAAGCCCGCCCGGTGTGGATATATACTCAGAGTAACATCACACAAGCATCTTATTCACCTGAGTACATTACACCAACACAGCAGATTTCATGATTATTAGATTACACTGATATCGAAGGAACTAGACTCAGTTCCGAAATATCGTATACTCGAACCGTCCTGACCGCGTAGCTCAGTTGGAAGAGCATTGGGCTAGTATTCCAAAGGTCGTAGGTTCGAATCCCACCGTGGCCGGGTATATTTTTCAAGCTCGCCCAGTGTGGATATACACTCAGAGTAACACCACAAATATCATATTCACCTGAGTACACTACACCAACACAGAAAAAAAAATAAATAATATTACTAGAATACATTGGTATCGAAGGAACTAGATTCTGTTCCGAAATATCACTTACTCGAACCGTCCTGACCGCGTAGCTCAGTTGGAAGAGCATTGGGCTAGTATTCCAAATGTCGTAGGTTCGAATCCCACCGTAGCCGGGCATATTTTTCAAGCTCGCCTGGTGTGGATATACACTCAGAGTAACACCACAAATATCATATTCACCTGAGTACACTACACCAACACAGAAAAAAATTAATATTACTAGAATACATTGGTATCGAAGGAACTAGATTCTGTTCCGAAATATCACTTACTCGAACCGTCCTGACCGCGTAGCTCAGTTGGAAGAGCTGTCGGAAACTGTCGTAATTTAGAATTAGTATTTATGTTCATGCGTGGGACGCGCGAGTCCAAACTTTAAACACTTCGGAAAGTTCCGGATTATACCGGTGGTTGTTGTTTTTTCCAGGAGAGAACTTTAAAAAGCATGTGGCTGTGAAACTGTGAAACTTGTGATTTTGTAGTAGATATTATACTGTGTTTTGTTGTGATTTATTTTGGGCGATACTTGGAGCCAATCCCCAACATAGTGGCACCTACCGACGCGATTTGAGCTGTGTTTTGGTACAATCCAAAGCATTTATATCGAGATTTTGTTGTGATTTGTGACGAGCGTGACCGTGAAATATTATATCGAATATGTCTAAGATTGTTGACAAAAAGCTACTGGAATTAACTGGGAAAATAAAAGCATTGAACTTTGCGATCAAAAAGTCTGACGAAGTTATTGATTCTACTAAAACCGAGGTTTTAACGCGACAAATTAGTTCAATAACGAACCGAATTCAAGCAATATATGCCTTAAAGGAGGAAATAGAGGAGATCAAATTTACCGACAACGATTCTGAGGAAAATATACAAAACTGGGCTGAGGAAATCGAGTCGAGAATTAGCGAAGCAGATAACAAAGTAAGTGAAATACGAGAGCGTTTGAATGAGATTAAAGAAACAGAGAGAGCAGCAGCCGAAGAAACCGAACGCGTTGCCATAGATATCAAAAGACAAAAACAACTTGAATTCGAGAAACAAAAGTTCGAGCTAGAACAAGCAGCGAAGGATGAAGAACGAAAGCGGGAATTGAAGCACAAAACTGAACTGTTAAATAAACAATTGGAATATCAGAAATCAATCGAGACATCAGCGAAAGAACAAGAAAAATCAACGTCTATTAAATTACCCAAATTACCCGTGACAAAATTTAATGGCAATTTTGAAAATTGGCTCCCGTTTTGGAATACATTCGAGGCAGAAATCGATAAATCTGACGTGCCTTTCGTGACCAAATTTGCGTTTTTGAAAGAATGGTTAGAGCCGAAAGTTAGAGCAGAAATAGAAGGATTACCTTTTACCTCAGAAGGATATCAAAGAGCGAAAAACATACTTAAAAATGAATATGGGAAAACAAGCGAGATAGTGAACTCTCACGTTCAAAACATAATGGGATTACCTGTTATTACAGACTCTAATCCTGCCAAAGTGAATGATTTTTACAAGAGCCTGTTATACAACACGCAAGCACTGGAAACTCTGGGCAAGTTGGACAAAGTAAGCGGTATGACAAGGAGTGTACTGGAGAAACTCAAAGTAATTAAAGTAGATCTGGTGAGAGGAAATGAGGGCTGGCAAGATTGGGACCTTACACGCCTTATCGTGGAGCTAAAGAAATGGAGAGATATTAATCCAGTTGATGAAAGCGGGAATACCAAGAAACAACGTAAGTCTGGATGTTATTATGCAAAGGACGGTGATCGTCGTAAACGAGCATGCGTTTATTGTGATGCTGAAACCCACAACTCGAAGGATTGCTTGACTGTAACTGACATCGATCAACGAAAGAAACTACTGGCAGAAAAGAAACTTTGCTTTAATTGTACCGGAACTAAATATCGAGCAGCAGACTGCAAGAGTGTTCACAAATGTTCGAAATGTAATATGAAGCATCACTCATCAATATGTACAAAGAAGGATCAGCTTTTAACCGCGAGTGGATCGAATGGGGGTCCGTTAGTGTATCCAGTTGTAGTAGTAAGTGTCGAGGGTATAAAGTGTCGTGCGCTGTTAGATACCGGTTCAGGGAATTCGTACGCTTCAGCTGCCTTGTTGGATTTGCTGCCGAAACGAACTCGTAAAAGGGAAGTGAGACGTGTTGAGATGATGCTTGGCTCAGTAACGAAGGAAATGGAACTGTCAACAGTGTGTGTAGAGGCAGTGAATGGAGAATTTGCAATGGATGTGAGTGTTACGAAAGTCGACAAAGGAGAACTGCTATATGTGGACAACCCAAACTATATGAGATAATAACGACATTACTGTAGTTATATGAAGTAGCTGGCAATTGTTTATGAGCCCGCAATAGTTATGTTTATATAAGGCGGTGTTTGACCACCATTTTGTAAGATTTGTACTTTAGAGTTTATAGCAAGGTTTTAAGTTGAATAAAGCCTGATTTTACTTTGCTTTACAATTATGGTTTCGACAATTTATTCAACTTAATAAAACTGTCTTCAATATGGATACTGTACTGAAACCTGCTCGTCTTGATTTGGATCCTAATTCACCATCTGCAGCTAAAGAATGGAAACATTGGCATAAGACCTTTACTAACTTTCTCGCAGAGTGTGGTTCAAGAGCTCCAGATAAGTATCGTACTCTTATTAACTACGTATCACATAACGTGTATGAATATATTGAAGACTGTACTGATTATGATTCAGCGCTCGAAGTATTAAATCAGTTATTTATTAGAAAGCCGAATGAAATATTTGCTCGACATTTACTCGCTACTAGACGGCAAAAGCCAGGCGAAACACTTGTAGAATTTATTCAGGAACTTCGGAGACTAAGTAAGGATTGTAATCTAAAAAGTGTTACTGCTGAACAGTATCGGGAGGAACTAATTCGAGACTCATTTATTAATGGTCTACTTTCCCCATTAATTTGTCAACGTCTTCTAGAAAACAGTACATTAGATTTGAAATCTGCTTTTGACCAAGCTAGTGCTTTAGATTTAGCACAGAAGAACGCGGAAACGTATACTATGCCCACTATTCCCACACCTACAACGGCAGCTGTTTCAGTAACAGAACAGACCTCGAAAGCTGCTGCCTCCAATGACGATGCCCCTCTTGCCGGAACATTTACATCAAAGAAATGTTATTTCTGTGGTAATTCTATTCATAATAGAAGAAATTGCCCTGCCCGAAATTGTGTGTGTGATAGCTGTGGCAAAGGGGGCATTATGCAAAAGTTTGCAGGTCAAAGGCCCCTACGGTTGCTTCAATATTTTCGCCTTCACTTTGTGCAATCGTGGCTTCCTGTCCAGAGTCTTTGAAGCAAGCATCTGTAATGGTTTCTATTGGAAACAAACCGTTGACTGCACTTGTTGATTCTGGAAGTTCTGACAGCTATATAAGTGAGAGCATGGCCAAACACCTTGATCTTCATTTTCATCGGTCAACACAAGATGTATCTATGGCCCTGAGTTCCCTCAAGTCACATGTTGTTGGTCACTGCTATGTAGATATTGCTCTGAATGAACATATGTATCCATCCTGTCGTCTGGGAATACTTAAAGATCTTTGTAGCGATATAATCCTAGGTCAGGATTTCCAAAAAGAGCACAAGAGCGTTATTATTGAATATGGTGGTTCTAAACCAGAGCTGATGATTCCAAAGTCTACCCCTGTTTGTGCTCTCTCTGCTGCATCAGTTGAAGAGCCGTCTCTTTTTGCGAATCTTCGTCCAGATTGCAAACCGATAGCAAGTAAATCGAGACGCTTTAGTAAGGAAGACCACGATTTTATACAACAGCAGGTTAATCAGCTTCTCTCGGAAGGGATCATTGAACCCAGCAATTCACCGTGGAGAGCACAGGTTGTTGTTGTTAAAGATCCGTTGAATAGACATAAGAAGCGGCTCTGCA